TCTCTCAACCCATCGCTTTGTTATTCTCTTCAAAGATCTAACGTGTCCAGCATTGTTCCTTTGTTTTTTGCGGGTAACAACTACCCAATCCTTCTCGCATACCGGATTAGCCTGTGGTGACTCTGGTGGTTGCCTAGTAGCATGTTTCGCAATGAATGGAAGCGGGCGTTTGTATTGCCTGCCCCCATCTTCTTCATCACTCTCTACAACCAACGGAGCGAACCTTCCGTATGAAATTGGTTGGTGCTGGCAGTTGCATCAGCCAGCTCAATCTTTCCATCGCGAGCAAGCCACATCACCTTATCTTTAAAGACAAAATACTTTTCAATTGGATGTCTGAGGAGACGAGGATACTTGCAATAGTTGGGGTCGTCCACCTTAGAAGCTTCTTCGGGACGCTTCATCTCCGGTAATTCAATTAACTTGAGTTTAAACAACTCATCAAACATGGGTGAAACATCAGAATCCAGGAATGGATACTGTTTTTGCTGCATCTCTTCAATGATTCTAGTTCCCCTTGATAGGCGGGAAAATGACCTTGGCCTTGGATTTTCAGTCACTTTAGCGAAAACCCGCATTGGTGATGTCCTTACGTTCATGGCATCCTTCTTTTCTTGCTTCGGGAAGGGCTTGCCCCCTTTCTTGAATTCTTGTTTTACAGGTGCCTTGGATGAGCTAGGGATACTTGACATGCCGAGCCCTCCATTGGCTTCAATACTCAACTCCATGTCGTGAGCACGACTGGATAGTTCTTCAAATGTTCTAGGCTTGATTCCCTGCAATATATAAGAGAGCTCGAAGTGTATCCCTTGGATGCACATTTCAATTGTGGAGCTTTGTGATATCCTCTCTTTACAGTTAAGACACAACTCTCTCCATCTCTCGATGTAAGCGCCCGCCCGCTCACCCTTCCATTGGTGAGTAGTGGTGAGTTCCAAGAAGCTGACAGTCCTCCTTGTGCTATAGAAGCGAGTCAAAAACTCGCGCTCCATATCATTCCAGCTATCAATGCAACCATGCTCCAGGTCGGTGTACCAATCAAAAGCAGTGCCCTTTAGAGAGCGGACGAACTACTTGACGAGGAGGTCTCCATATGTTCCTGCATCATTACAGGTTTCAATGAAGTGGGCGATGTGCTGCCTCGGGTTGCCTTTTCCATCAAACTGTTGGAACTTGGGAGGTTGATAGCCCAGCGGCATTTTCATGTCTTGAATTCTCTGAGTATATGGCTTAGTGTAAGTATATGAAGATTGTCTTCCCTCGAGCTTCCCTTTAATTGCTCCCATGATGTAGTCGTTCAACTGCTCGACATGTATCATGCCCTCAGAAATTGGAATACACTTCTCGGCGGGTGGTGGACGAGAGATTGTATCCTCCATTCTTGGCCTACTTTGATGACGCGGTGACTCGACATCAATCTCGTCTTCTTGGGTTTGAGGTTGCTTTCCGGAAGCTCGACTTGTTTCGCCGTTTCTTCCGCTTTCAACCTTTTCACTGAGCTCATTGATTCTCGTTTCTTAGTTATGCATGAACGTAGTTATCCCCTCAAGAGCTTTGGCGATGTTGGCTAGTTGTTCCTCCACCGAAGCCGCGTTCGTTGTCATAGCGGGCATGATTGTGTATATGTGATTCCATTCCGGTGAGGTTCTTTGTGGAAGTGATGATTGTGATGAGCTTCCACTGCTTGGAGTTTTATTCGAGGGAGTAGGGCTCGCAGGAATCTTGTTGCTGGGAGCTCCTTCACTTGTAAGATTCTTGTTGTTGGGAGCTCCTTCGCTTGAAGGATTCTTGTTGCCAACAACCTCCATTGTAGTGGATGACCCCTTGTTACGTATAGCTCTGCGTTGCATGGTGGAGCTTCTGTCAATCCTTCGAACGATGTGGCGAGCGATGTCCTGGGCCCCGTGCAGCTGCACTCCTAAGTTCCTCACTCGGCTCCGAGTCATTGCTCCTTCCACGTTTTGACTGTCACCGGAACCGGCCACGGATGATGCCTTGGAGCGGGTAGCTTGAGCGTAGGTCATCTTGGAGGAGGGATTCCTTGATGCCATTTTTGAATTCCTTCCGTATAGAGCCCGCGAATCAACAGTGAAGAGATGAGAGGCAGAGTGGTCCCACTGGGCGTGCCAAAATCTGTAAACACAAAATAGTAAACTTGTATATATTCACAAAATTCCGTGTACAGCGTGTATATAATTCAATGCAGGTACAAAATCTCTGTCTAGTCCTCTGATTCTTCACTGACGTTATCTATGGAAGTGCCTCCGGGATTCAAATAGCGTAGCCTCCGGGATTCAAGTGGCGCGTGCCTCCGGGATTCAAGTGGCGTAGCTTCCGGGATTCAATCGGCGTGACTTCCAACAACGAGCGTAAAAAATTTAGAAGTAATCTACCCTGCAAAGTTTCAAAACACATGCAATGGATTCAAGCTGCCTTAAGGTCCTCAAATGCCTTCAAAAGACTTTAAGATCTTCGAGACAATCGATTCTGCAAAGCTCCAAAGTACCTGCAATGGACTCAAATTGCCTGCAAAATCAACAAAAAATGCTTTCAAATCCTCCAAGTGTTCCTCAATGCCTTCAAGTTCTCCAAATGCTCTCAATTCCTCAAGTTTTCAAGTTCTTCAAGCTTTCAAGTGTGTTTTGGAATGAAAACGAAGGCCCTATTTATACTAAAAGCTTAACCGAAATTCCTCAACCAATTCCCCTCTTTAGTTAACTAATTAATTAACTAATTAATTAGGAAAATGAACCTTGTCCAAGATCAAGTCCAGGTTCATTATTGTATAATCTAATTCAAATTCAAATTAAATTATAATTATCTAATTGAAATATAATAAAATTAATATTATATTATAATTATAACTTAAAGTCAAATATGAAATGAGCTTGGGCCAATTAATTAATTAATTCAATAGCCCAAATCAAATTCTAATTGGGCTAATTAAATTAAATTAATTTATATGATCTAATTAATTAAATTGACCCAACATTTAATCTCAACATCGGTCCACCGACCATTTATCAGTTCATTTATTGGATTCAAATTTTCTGTGTCTACAATAATAATAATAATAATAATAATAATAATAATAATAATAATAATAATAATAATAATAATAATAATAATAATAATAATAATAATAATAATAATAATAATAATAATAATAATAATAATAATAATAATAATAATAATAACAACAATAACAACAATAACAATAATAACAATAACAATAACAACAATAACAAACATCAACAATAATAACAATAACAATAATAACAATAACAATAATAACAATAATAACAATAATAATAATAATAACAATAATAACAATAATAACAATAATAATAACATTAATAATAATAATAATAATAATAATAATAATAATAATAATAATAATAATAATAATAATAATAATAATAATAATAATAATAATAACAATAACAATAACAATAACAATAACAATAACAATAACAATAACAATAGAAAAGGGTCAAATAGGCCCCTAAACTTTACCTTAAAGGTCAATTAGGCTCCTCAACATTAAAAAAGGTCAATTAAACACTCAACCATGATAAATTGAGTCAATTAAGCCCAAAACCCGATAAATGACCTGTTATTACATGTCATTTTAATTCCGGCCACCGGCGAGATTTTTCAGCGACCTGCGAGATTTTTCGGCCGTCCGGTCGTCTTCCACTGGAGAAGACGACCGGACGGCCGCCTTCTCCAGGCAGGCGGCCGTCTGCCGCCTTCTCCAGTGGAGAAGATGACCAGACGGTCGTCTTCTCCAATGGAGAAGACAATCGTCTGGTCATCTTCTCCAATGGAAAAGACGACCGGACGGTCTTCTTCTCCGGTGGAAAACGGCCGGAAAATCTCGCCGGCCGCCAAAAATTGTTACCGGCCACCGAAAATTGTCACCGGTGGCCGGAATCCGTTGTCGAAATTAAAATGACCTGTAATAACAGGTCATTTACCAATTTTTGGACTTAATTGACCCAATTTAACATGTTTGAGTGTTTAATTGACCTTTTTTAATGTTGAGGGGCCTAATTGACCTTTAAGGTAAAGTTTAGGGGCCTATTTGATCCTTTTCTCTAATAATAATAATAATAATAATAATAATAATAATAAGGGAAAAGTATCAAATTCACCCCCCTAAGTCGACCTATTAGTGCAATTGGGTCCCCTAACTAAAAAAAAAAACTCAATTCAGATCCCCTAAACCTGTAAAATTGTTCAATTAAGTCCAACGTGACTTGTTTAACAAGTTAAATCTTCACATTGTTGACACGTGTCATTTTAAAATATATTTTTTTGTTTTTAAAATGATTTATTTAATTATTAATATATATATATATATATATATATATATATATATATATATATATATATATATATATATATATATATATATATATATATATATATATATATGGTAGGGAATACCCCGACCGACGTGTCCTCGTTCTCTTTATTACTTGTTTTGCAGGTTACAGGTCGGATTTTTGTAGAAGAACCCGGTCGGTACTCGACCGGTATTGCCCGACCGGGGTGTCAACCACCGAGCGGTAGCCCTTTAGCGAGTATGCTGACTAAAGACACGTGGCGGCACTAGACAGCGACAGACAGGGCACCCGGGAGGATGACACGTGGTTACTACGTGGGAAGCATGCCGATCAGCCGGATTCTTGTCCCAGGCTCCGCGGCTATAAATACCCGCCAAAGCAACAGTGAATGGACTTTTGGACGATCGATAGGTTGTATTCAGAGAATCCCGACCGCATCCAGTCGGTACTCGGTGCGACCAAGTAGATTGTACTTAGGGCCTTTTACCGGATTAATAAAGGACTTTTACTTGCTTTAATTGATCTGGATTTTATTGATAGTTACCGCACACGTGGTATTTACATTATCAATTGGCGCCGTCTGTGGGGAACGAGCAAGGATGCTACGTCAACCGGGCTCGAGACCTTTTCATCACAACATCAGCCACGATGTTTCCGTTCATGCATGATCTCAACAACTACGACCAAGGTGACGCGACTAGCGACAACCAAGGTCAGAATGTAGATCTCAACCTGAACCTTTCACCACCACATCCACCGGTTCATCAACCAGCCCAGTATCTGGTGCAGTATGTCCAACCGGCGTATCCTATGGCTGGTCAACCGGGTTTTCCACCTCCCGGTCAGCAGATGCCCTATCCCGGGCAGTATCCATACCCAACACCTCCTCAGTCATATGGATATTGGCCCGGCCAACCGATGTTCTACCCGTCACCAGCCGGATATCCTCAGTATATGCCTGCGTACACGGCTCCAGCCGCCGACCCTCCAGTATACCCGACTGCACAGGTAGAGCCGGAGCATCAACCCACTTCCCGGGCTAGACGCTCGCCTCGTTCGCGGTTGGGGTCGGGGGGTGCTGATGCGATGGAGGTACCACGGCAGGATCCTCAAGCAGCAGCACAGATGCCCGCCCGAGCGAATGATCCCGAGCAGGTGGAGCGGGAGGTTGCCTTTGATTGACTCCGACCGGCAATGCGACAACGACTGGGACCAAGTTCAAGCCGGCCGGTAGCAGATGAACCCATGCAAGATGTAAGCCAGGAGGCATCGTCTGGGCATAGCGGGTCGAGATCTCACCGACGAAGACGCGCTCGGGAAGCAAGTCAAGCGCAGTTGGCAGAGCTCAACGAGACCCGAGGATTGCTCTACAACCTCCAGGCGGAGTTTGCTAAATTCCGGAACGAGCATCCCGTCAGGCCCCCGGTCGACCACTCAACGTTGTTGAGGACACCTTTCACGGCGGAGATAATGGCGCAGCCCTACCCGCTCGATCTTAAGGTTCCCGGGGAGAAGAGCTACGATGGTCGGACGGACCCCGAGGTCCACGTCAATGATTTTTACGGCAACATGATCTTCAATGGCGTGTCAGACGCCGTGATGTGCCGTGCTTTTTACTCTACGCTCACCGGTCGGGCGGCCGAGTGGTTCCGAACTCTGCAGCCGGGGTCTATTGCATCTACTCAGTTCGTGAGGAAATTTGTTACCTCCAGGGTGGTCAAGAAGTCCTACATGTACCTGGAGAAGGCAAGGCAGCTGGAGGGAGAGAGTTTGACCGATTTCTTGGTCAAGTGGAAGGCAGCAGTCCTGGAGGTGGAGCCTATGGATGATCTTACCGCAGTTCACATGCTCCATATTGCTCTCCGTGCTGGGTACCTCTACCAGGACTTTATTCTCCATCCCCCAGCCACATACGGGGAGGCCCTCCGAAGGGTCACGGATTACGCTAATGCCGGCGAGGCCAACACTGTGAAGCGTTCGCAAGAGGTCGGGACGTCATCCCGTAAACCGGCCGGTCGGGCGGATCATCGATCGGGAAAGCCAGAGCTCACATCATTATTCCCCGATCCGTCCAACTTCTATCCACTTTCGCACCCACTCGTACCTCGAGCGTACAAAAGTGTGGGGGCTGGGATTAAGGAAGTGTTAAAGGCTTAATGATCGGGAATACCCCGAGCAAAAAAAGCCATAGTTTCAAAATCTCGACAAGGCCAAGTGTTCGGGACGATCCCTAACCAGTAGGCCGGTCGGTGATACGCGATCGTGGTTGTATACGACTAGGCCGTTAGGCCGTATAATCGTGTTTTATGATTAACGTGCACACAAAGCGTTTAAAAACGTAAAGCACAAAAGAAATGATCGGCCAGACTTAAGCAAAAATTCTTATTGAAACTTAAAATATGCCCGGTACAAACTCAGGACCGGGCTCCCGACTAATGTCATCACAAAAAAAGGAAAAGAAGGTTACAAGCTTCACTTCCCAGCAGCTTCGGTGTCACTCGGGGCGGCGGCATCTTTACCGGATGGCTCTCCTTCAGCAGCTCCGCTCGGACCTACTAACTCGATCTCGGGATCGTAGGGGTCCAGCCCGGGATCGGGAACAGCAGTCGAGAGGGTGGTCAGCACCAGCTCAAGGTCCTCGCCTTCAAGCGCCTCCCTCATGTTCTTTTCAGCTCGGTCCCTCATGTCCTTTTGACCGCTGTTGTAGGCCCAGTGTCCGAACGCCCAAAAAAGCTCATCTGCGACCATGTTCGTCCTCATCTTGCGGATGAACTCCATGCCCCGGGCGACTTCGCGGAAGAAATGCTTGATGGCTGTGTCCGGGTCGGATGCTCGGGCTTCCAGACCCTTCATCTGCTCCTTCAGATCCATTACCTTTTTCAGAAGAGCCGTTCGTTCGGTTTTTGCCTTTTCAAGTGCTTCTTTGGCTTTCTTCAGCTCGAGGGACTGCTCGTCCATTTCCTTAAGCCTCCGCTCGGCAAACTTCTTGTACCGATCCGCCTCGGTGGCCAATAGCGCTTGGCCGTGGAGGATTGCCCCGATCCGTGATGCCTGCATAGTTAACAAAGTTAGCCCGATCAGCGGCACTTGGAAATTATAAAGCGAAAAAAGAAAGTAAACGAATCGTACCTCAGACAGGTCACGACCCAGCCGTTCGGCCAGCTGGGTCGAGCTCAGCTTCGTGAGATCCATCTCGACCGGCGTCATGTTACCAAGTCGAGATAGAATGGAGGCATCGGCCATGCCGGACCCAATCGTGGGGGTCGGGCTTTTCTCCACCCGTTGCCTATTTGCTCTCGGCCGCTTCAGTGGCCGCCCTCTCGACCGTTTTGCTCATAGCCGGCCCTTTTGTCTTGCTGGTCACCCGAGTGACCAAAGTTTCCGAAGTGTCTAATACACCCCCCTCGTTTGTGACCAGCGTGACCGAGCTGATTGGTCGCGCGACCGGGATAGAATCTTCCCCGGATGAGCCCGCGGCGGCCTTCTTCTTCCCCAATGCAATCTTCGATCGGGGAGGAGAATTCGGACGGACGAAGCGTTTAGGCGCCATGTCTGCAAAAAAGAGAAGATAGTTAAGTCGCGAATATGCCCGTTGCTCGGGAAGTCAGATCGGGAAGAGTCAGTTAGGGTTAGACCTTTCGTCTTCCGCTTTCCCCGAGCAGGAGCACCCGCCACTACGCCCATCGGGACCGGCTTGTACTTCTCGGTCAAGGTGTACACGGGATCCGGCAACTGGGCCGCCTCGAGGCTCTCCGCCGTCCGGAATACCTTATAGTCGTGAATCTCGCTCGAGGTTTTCTTCACCGCTTCCTGAAGGGTAGGAGTCTCGCCCGGCACGACTTGCTTTCTGAAGCGTGAACTCCACACCCTGTCAACCGGGAGGATCCAAGGGTCATACTTGACCGAGAAGATCCTGTTTTTCCACCCTTTGTTGTTCCCGGGCAAACCTTCGATCGTGCACCTTCCTTCTCGAGATTGCACCATCAGGAACCCACCTCCGTAGTTGCCCGATAGCACCTTTACTTGGTAGATGTAGTTGAAGAGCTCCATCGAACAAGCCACTTGATGCCGAGCGCATATTTGAGTAAAGCAGGCGAGGATCCGATGGGAATTTGGACATATCTGGGCTGGCACCACCCGGAAGTAACCCAAGAAGGCGGTCAGAATGGCCGGGAAGGGGAATTCGATCGGGGCCATCAGGGAGTCATAATGCATCCCGATCCACTTGCCCCGATGGCGCTCGATGATGTTCCCGAGCCGCCGGCTAGTGTCGAATTCTACCCGGCCGCTCAATCTCTCTGCGATCCGCGCAGCTTCTCCCTTTGTGAGCTTGCTCATTTCTTCCGCAACACTGTCGCTGTTGAGGAACTGGAAGCCGTCATCTGCCCGGGCCGCTGGCTCGGCCGCATCTTCTTCAACCGGCTCGTCATTTGCTCGAGCGACGGTTTCCGGGTGATCCCCTATCACCCGGACAGGTGTTTCCCTACCACCTCTGGTCGGGAGACCTCGTCCACTCGTGGAGGTCTCCTCGCTACCCAAGCTCCCAAAGCCACTTGAGCCAGATCCGGATGACCCGCTCGTCCTACTCGGCTCCTGTTGTACGGGGGCTCGTTCAGGAGCCTTTCCGGGTCGTTAAACGACCTCCGGAGAATAAGACATAATGTCTATCTCCTCTTCGCTGAATTGCTCGACCTCCTGGTCGTAATCACCGATCGACGCGTTTTGACTGTCTGAGCTTGACATCTTGACTACCTAGGGGTGGTCGGGATTAGTAAGGGGCTCGGGGATGTTAGGTCGGTGTAACCTAGATCCTATGTCTGTATTACTACGGCACAAGGAAAAATATAAAAGAAGGGAACTAGAGAACTTACCGGTTGAGGAGACTTAGAGTTGTGGAAACTCGGAGTTCCTTTGCTCGATTGCTCTGCTGAAGTAGTTGCTCGGGGACTCTCTGAGGGTACCGATCGCTTCAATAGATTGGAGAAAGTTCAAATGAAGTTCTCAAAGACCTATTTATAGGAGAAGATTTGGGCGGGAAACCAATCATCACGCCTGACGCGACCGTTCCTGAACCCGAGGTGACCGTTGCGCTTCCTGAGGCGTGCAGTACTCGACACGTGGCGAGAGGGAATGACAGCTGTCCGATCGGTTTGGCGGCGGGCATTTGGGTTTCTCCATCCCGCCCCATTTTTCCCGAGCGGTCAAAAAGGCACGGGCTGGGGGGCTCTTGGTAGGGAATACCCCGACCGACGTGTCCTCGTTCTCTTTATTACTTGTTTTTCAGGTTACAGGTCGGATTTTTGTAGAAGAACCCGGTAGGTACTCGACCGGTATTGCCCGACCGGGGTGTCAACCTCCGAGCGGTTGCCCTTTAGCTAGTATGCTGACTAAAGACACGTGGCGGCACTAGACAGCGACAGACAGGGCACCCGGGAGGATGACACGTGGTTGCTACGTGGGAAGCATGCCGACCAGCCGGATTCTTGTCCCAGGCTCCGCGGCTATAAATACCCGCCAAAGCAACAGTGAATGGACTTTTGGACGATCGATAGGTTGTATTCAGAGAATCCCGACCGCATCCAGTCGGTACTCGGTGCGACCAAGTAGATTGTACTTAGGGCCTTTTACCGGATCAATAAAGGACTTTTACTTGCTTTAATTGATCTGGATTTTATTGATAGTTACCGCACACGTGGTATTTACATTATCAATATATATAACACAGCCACCTAAACAGCTTTGTGTGTTTTTTTTAAAAAAAGCTTTGTTTTTTTTGTTTGTTTTTTTTTTAAATTTTTTTTATATATAATATATATTTTAATAAATAAATAAATCATTTTTTGAAAAAAAACATTTTAAAGTGACACGTGTCAACAATGTAAAGATTTAACCTGTTAAACAAGTCACCTTGGACTTAATTGAACAATTTTACAGGTTCAGGGGATCTGAATGAAGCTTTTTTTAGTTAGGGAATCCAATTGCACTATCCGGTCGACTTAGGAGGCAAATTTGACACTTTTCCCTAATAATAAGAATAATAATAATAATAGTGGTCGTTATTATTATATAATAATATAAATTAAAAAAAAATTACTATGTAGTGATCTCTCTTATATGGGAGGTAAGATCGAGATTCAGTGGATGCGTTGTTGACTCTTTGTACTTTAACATGTTTAGAAAGTATGTATGAACAGATATTACAATGTAATAGAGCCAGTATCTTCAAAAAAATAATAAAATTACTATGTTATTACAAAACAATATTTATTTTATTTAAAAGTTATATTTTGTATATATACACACACACAAATGAAATTGTTTAAAAATAACTTTAAATAATGTATTAATACTTATTAATTGCACAATTTTTAATAATTGTACATTTTATGTAATCCAATTGTTATGCAATATGAATTATTTTATTTTGAACTTTTAAAATGATTTTACATTGTTTAAAAAAAATTCATTAATTTTTAATATTTAGAATTAATTTATATGTTTGATAGAATGATAGAGGAGAGTGAAAAATAATTTTTTTAGTGAAAAAAAATAATTTTTTTAAAGTGATGTAAGAGTGTGAGCGTGGGGTCACTTTTAAAAGTAGGAGAATCAGAATTGATGGGCACTGTATGATAAAAAAAACAACATGCTCTTTTTATTCTTGAATATCAATAGTTGATTGCGTAACAAAACAAAGTAAATACACGGATATAGTGGTGATATACTGCTTTAAGTTCATATTGCAATGATCATCTATTCTTGAATATCCACATAAATTAAAAGGCACCGAACTTGAAATCTCTTATAATGGTTGAGAAGTTTTGGGTTGTTGCATGGCATTCTCTGCAGCTTGTGACAGTAGCAGTGCAGTGGTGGGGGTCATAGTTTGGTACTGAGAAGGCAGTGGTGCAACTTGATGCTGATGAGCATAATAGAGCTGCTGGTCTTGAGTAGGAATATGGGAATAATCATATCCATAGTTTGCAGAGCTGGGAGGGGGAGGGGCTTGTGAAGAAAGACCAAAGAATTGTTGGTGAAACTGCAGTGCAGGGGTTATTGCGGCGCCTGTTCTATACACACTTGCTGCAGCGGCTTCCGGCTTAGATGAGGGGGGAGCTGGTTTTGTGGGGTAAATAGGTGGAAGTGCTTCTTTGTAAGCATTATTGGTGGTTGGGTTTGGCGGCGGAGTACTAGATGGCGGTGCTGCTGCGAAGTTGTTGTAGGGCTGAGTAACTGGCAGTAGATACATAGGGTATTGCTGATGCTGATGCTGATGATCCATTTGTTGCTGTGATGGGGGCGCCGCCCCGGTGTACATTGGATAGTAAGACGAGATTGGCACCGGTCCCCCGCCTCCTGCAGGTGGATGCTGAAAATAGTGTGTAGTGTTGGGATGTATAAACTGTGGTTGCTGCTGCTGGTTGTGTTGTATAGCTGCTGCAGAATCCTGGCCCTGATGATGCATCTGGATGAGAGAGGTAGTGGTGTCCATAATGTTACTCTTGGGATCAATTGCTGCTCTGTTTTCCCTACTTATAATGGCTTGAGTTGCATCCTGGTTAGTTGCATGTTTTGAGAAAGATGCAGCAGATGTGATGCTACTATCACTGAAACATACAGTAGTACATTCATTCATCAGTATTACAATCCAATAAAATATGTGATTGACATGATGATATATATGATCAAACAACTTGCAATGCAGGCAGGCATGTGGGCTGCAATGCAGGCAGGCATATAGCCCATAGAGAGGCAAGGTGCTGAAATTGACCCTTTATTTACTAGTCTCTCTTTCTCTAGCCATCAATTGTTGGACTTGGCTCGTTGTTAGCCTCTGTCCAACAATTCTTCCTCCTAGCACTTGCAAGTCTTTAATACCTTACACCTGCGCTTACCACTACGCCAAAATGTATATCTAGTAGCGAAGACACAACTTATTTCCTTATAGATTGTCATCACATTTTCGAGAGGCAAGGTGTTGAACTTGACCCTTTATCTACTAGCCTATGTCCTCTAGCCATCAATTGGTGGACTTGGCCCGTTACTGGCATTGCCTAACAATTCCTCCTTCTAGCACCTATCAGTCTTAACACCTGATACCACTTGTTGCGCTTACCACTACGCCAAAAGCTATAGCTAGTAGCGAAGGCTCAACTTTATTTCCTTATAAACTGCCATCAGATTTTCGAGAGGCAAGGTGCTGGATTTGACCATTTATCTACCCACCTCCGTCCAACAATCCCCTAACCACCAATTGCTAGACTTGACCCTTTACCGACTTCCGCCCAACAATTCTTACTCCCAACACCTGCCAGATTTAACACCTGGCTTTGATACCACTTCTTGCGCTTACCACTACCCTAAAAGCTATAGCTAGTAGAATGCGCAACTTTATTTCCTTATAGACCGCCATAAGATTTTCGAGAGGCGAGGTGCTGGACTTTGACCTTTTATCTACTGATCTCCGCCCAACAATTCTCTAACCACCAATTGCTGGACTTGGCCCGTTCCCGGCCTCCACCCAACAAGTTTTTGTTTCCTTTATGTTTTGGTGTCTAGTTTTTTTGTTATAAGTATTATGTGCACAACACAAGTTATCTGTTGTCTTAGAATATTAGTGAGTAGGGATTGAAACATACATGAGAAAGCTAAGTATATTACATACCTGGCTACAGAATCTGGTGATGCTAAGTTGAATCCTCCAGCAGCATGTCTTGAATCTGGTGATGACAAGCCATAACCATCTCCAGTTTTGCGAGGAACCAACTGTAGTGGTAATGGCGGTTTTCGGATCCCGGGTTGTGCTCCATCATCTAATTTCTCGTAGTCTGAGATAACAGCAGAGTTGATTGCAAATATAGTAGGTGGCACTGCAGCCGTGGCTGCCACATTATTATCAACCCCATCTTCTTGCTTCTGTGTGGTCTGGGGGCCAACATTTATCTGCGACAACTGTTCTTCTAACCCAAATATTTTATCGTTCACTCTAAGACCACCCCCTTCAACCCTGACCTTGATTGGAGGCAGATTGGCCATGGATGGAGAAGAAACAGTGGAAGAATCAAAAGAGGATGTCTCAATAACCACTGGTGAATCTGGAACTGTATATTGTTTATTGTCACTGCTGCTATTTTGATGATGATTCTTCTGCAGGTCTGTGGCAGAATCACTCTGGATCATCATCCCATCAAGATCCACTATATTGTTGTTCTCAGTGGCGGAATCGGATAGCCCTCTGGAAAGCAACCCGGCATTGTTGAGAGCATCCACGAACCATGTTTCGGACTTGGCATCAGCAAGGAGACATCCCATGGAGGCTGCGGTTTCGGGCTTCGATAGGAACAGAAAGAGGCGAAGACGAGAAGGTCTTAAAGGGGATGTTGAGACGGTGCGGTCATATTCTTCAACCATGTTCTCTAAGTCCTCCTCTGTGGTGACTGATATAAGGGAGTCAAGCTCCTCAGTGGGGAGCTGGTACTTGAGGGTGAAGTGGCGGCCGTTGAGGAGCGTGTGGGAGAGGCGGGAGTGGAGCTCCGCCAGGGAGGAGCTGCGGTCCACCACCACAATGCGGGTGTCGCCACCAACGTAGCAGAGGGACTTGTCGTGTGGGCGGGGAATGATGTGCCCTCCATAGCTGCACATTAGCCTCAGCTTTGCTCCCGGGACCGGTGGCAATGGCTCGTCCCACGTTTCGGTTTGCCTAGAGCGCGGTGAGGAGTTGGTGGATTCTGGGTATTGTATTTGGCTAATGGCGGTGGTAGTGGCAGTGGTGGTGGTGGTCTGATGTGGTTGAGAGGCTGCAGGATCCATTGAAGTCTCTATGTTGGGCCAAGAGAGAATTTTAATTTGTGTGAAGCTAAGCCTCTTACTTTGATATTCAAATACTATGCTGTTCAAGGCTACTGTACAGCTTGAATCTTGCTAGCACAAGTACTAAAAACATTTATTTTTATTGATAATTTAATTGCAGGCCAGGTGAGCAGAACAGTTAGTCCTTAAATTTTGTCTCTCACACTCAAAGTAGGTACAAAATCTTGTGACAACCAATGACCAGGTAGCAACAAATCTCACCTAGGTAACATGCATTAAAGTTTTCGAAATCTGGAGGGGGAATGAATCGAATGATTAAATCTCACTTAACTTCTAGGAATGTGAAAAAGGGAATGATTTCTATTTCTACCTCTTATGAAAACTTTTTATCTTTAAAGTTAAGTGTGTTAAGATGAAGCCAGACTTGTAACTAAGTGTGGTAACTTTAATTCCTTATACGATCACATATTTTTGAGACATTGGATATTGAATTTTTACCGACTTCCGTCCAATAATCCTCCAACTACCGTGTGTTAGACTTGTCCTTTATCGACCTCTGCCTATGGAAAGACGACCCCACATTTTTCTTGCCAAAAGCGCCTAAACTTTCATGTTTGCAGGATCCTAAACTACTATATTATAATCATAAAGCAGAGGTTGCTAGATCGCATGTGGTTGTAGCTCTGCTGGCCAGATCGAACAGACAGAATACGCATCGAAACACGGGCTGGTGCACGTGTGGTTGGACGGAAAACAAGGCTGAGGCGCATGCACGTGAATGCCCGCGGAAGTGGAGGAGGAGGACGGCGGAGGAGGGGGCGGTGGTGGTGCTCAGTTTCTTGGAATTTTAACATACAATGCATGATAGGGAGAGTGTACATGAATTGTTGTGAGTTCTACGGAGCATTTTGTTTTGAACTGTGGGAGAGGGAAGCCCAAGATAGTCAACACCATGTATTGAAAAAGAAAAAAAATGCATTATTTCCATCTTCTAATGTGTTTTTTCGAACCATATATAATTTGGATCACACTTCCTTAAACCATCTCAAGTATCCTTATCATGAGACGGGTCGGCAGGGGCAGAGCCAGAAAGTCTGGGTTAGGAGTCGAATTTATAGAAAAATTTATATCTTAGTCGACATTAGTACCAACCATACAATATCATTATATATACCATATATGATTGTACCGATTATTATTCATAATTATTTTTAATTACACTATGTGTAATAATATATGAAATATATAATTATATGAGTAAGATCGTTAATGTTGTCAAATATTACTTTTGAATTTTTCACAAAACACAAAATATATACAATAGTAAAAAATAAGGAAAATTGCACTACTTGTCCCTAATTAAGTTATACGACAATTGTAGAATTCATCTCAAATTATCAGTCGTGCTCACTTATTGTCTTTAAAATATACTCCGTAAATGATGTTGTAAATTTCGTCCCTTTACTAACAAAATATTTGGGACAAAATTTGCAACATTATATAACTCAGAGACTAAGAGTGAGCACAACCTGTTATTCAAAGGACGAAATTTGCGACGTTAGTTATAGCTTAGGGACGAAAAATTTGCACGACCAGTAATTAGATATGAATTCTACAATTACCACATAACTTAGTGATGAAATGTGTAACTTTCCTGAAAAATTAGGAGGGACTAAAAATATGATTTATCCATATTATAATAATATATACATATATGTTAGTGTTTTAATTGCTCAAAAAACCCCAACTTATAATTGGCAATATTATTATGACAAACTAAGATAGGATTAGCTTAGTGTCGGTTTTGTCTTACCGAAGACTGATCAATCAGATACAACAACAGAGGGACTGACACTGAAGATCTGAATTAGGAAGCTGTTTCCTTAAAGTCTGTACGCGGTTTAAAGAAGACAGATTTGGAAAGAAGATCAGCGTATCTATTTTGGAAAGGTATGGACCGAATCTTTAAGATTACATTCTTCAAATATTGTCCTACCATCTACAATCAAAGATATCTATGGAGAGTGTTCGTACTATGGAACTATAAGTACTCTTATTCGACAAGAATTAGGGTTACGCTTTCAAGAAGGCAAAAACACTCCAATACAGTTTTATGAGATCAGATATTTGATTATCATGCCTCTTCTCAATACAACATGTTCATGGTGATTATGATGAAGAACTTGAGAAGAATTATTGTTGCTTAAACGAAAGGACGCTACGATCACACTGTTGTGGGAACAACCGAGAAGAGCGTTATTGAAGTGGACTGCATCAAAGTTGGCTCTCCAAGTGAAGGGATTTCACTGGAATTCTGTATGCATGGCTCTCCATCTTCAACCATCCACTAAACCTGTGTAGACTGGGTACGTACCTTGTGTGGGACACTCGGGTGAGATTGTTGTTTCTCTACCTTTGTACATTGGATTATGATTTAGTGGATTGGACGCTTATGTGATCATCCCCCAGACGTAGATACACACTGTATCGAACTGGGTAAACATCTTGTGTGTTGCTTTGTGTCGTTATCTCTTTCTATAAACATCTCAATAATCTGCCTTACTGACTGACATCATCTTTGAATTAGTCAGTCCATTTCATCAGTTGGATAATCCAGTTAATTTGATTAAAAATGAGGAAATGCAAAATTACAATATATATAATATATATACTAAAAATGAGGGGTAGAGTGGGGTGGGGTGGGGTGGGGTAAGGGGGTACCCCTACCCCTAGGGTGGCTCCGCCCCTGCGGGTCGGTTCGGATCAGGTCAGGTAAGGTTAATATGTAAATGTGTAATACTAAATTAGAAATATATATTTATTACTTATAAGGGAAAACATAATACTTTTGAGTACAAATGTAATACTTTTAAATTTTTTTATTTTTATTTTTATGAAAGACTATTACTTTTTTTCATCAAAAGTATTATATTTTTCATCAAAAGTATTACATTTCCCCATATAAGTAATAAACATTTTATTCATGATTCAGTATTACATGTATTAGTCTAAGTATTACATTTCATCTTGACCCAACCCGTCTCACAGGCAAGGATATGATCCGTGAGACGATCTTACACAAGTTTTTGTCATATAATTTCGATTAGAGTTAATTTCATTTTTTGTCCTAAATTTATAGGTGACAGTCCATTTTTAGTCATTTTTATCAGAACATCCACTTTTGGTCCTAATATTATTGTGACATCACCATTTTTGGTCCTCTAACAACAAAACAGTTTAAATGTCGTTAAATACAAATGCATTTCAGTCTTCGATTATGAATTTTTTCAAAAAAAATAAACATAAAAAATATAGTAGGTCAACCTAGCTACTTGGTATAAAAAAAATTTAAATGTCCTTATATTTAGCGACATTTCAACAATTTTGTTGACAGATGACCAAAATGGTCATGTCACAATAATACTAGGACCAAATAAGGATGTTTTGATAAAAAATGACTAAAAGTTGACTTTCACTTATAAATTTAGAACAAAAAATGGAATTAATTCTTTTGATTAATTAAAAATGGAATAAGGGTCAAATAAGTCATCGAACTGCACACAATAATGCAATTAGGCCATTGAACCTAAAAAAATAACAATTAGGCCACTAAACTAACCAATTTCTTTCAATTAGTCTAATTTACAAATTTTACAGGTTAGTAACAGGTCACCCAAAAAATTTAAAACATTTTTTTTAAAAATTATTATTTAAAAATAATAAATTAAAATATATTAAAAAAAACTTTTCTTCGTCTCTGCTGGAGACGAAGAAAACAAAGAAACTTCTTTGTCTCCATGGCCGGAGACGAAGAAACTCTTCATCCCCGGCCAGAGACGAAGACATGAGACGAAGAAACTCTTCGTCTCCATGGCCGGAGACGGAGAGTCTCTTCATCTCCGGCCATGGAGACGAAGATTATCTTCACCTCTGGCCGGGGATGAAGAGTTTCTTCGTCTCCGGCCATGGAGACGAAGATTATCTTCGCCTCTGGCCGGGGATGAAGAGTTTCTTCGTCTCCGGCCATGGAGACGAAGAAAGTTTCTTCGTCACTATGGCCGGAGACGAAGAAAGTTTCTTAGTCTCCGGCAGAGACGAAGAAACGTTTTTTTTTAAAAAAAATATATTTTAAAAAATATTTTTAATTTTTTGGGTGACCTGTTACTAACCTGCAAAACTTATAAATTAGACTAATTGAAAGAAATTGATTAGTTTAATGGTCTAATTGTTGTTTTTTTAAGTTCAGAAGCCTAATTGAATTATTGTGTGCAATTTGATGGCCTATTTAACCCTTATTATTCCATTAAAAATTAATTATAGTTGGATTTTCCCCTTACGTTTTATTATAACCACGAGCCAGCCCGTGGCGGAGCCAGAAAGTCGGGGTTGGGGAGGTCGGGGGGGGGGGGGGAGGGGGGGAGGGAGGAGGCAAATTTATAGAGGAAATTTATCATCTTAGTCGATATTGTTGGAAACCATTCAAAGAAGCTTATTTATCCTCCTATTATTTTGGATCTGTCTGAAATGTTCTCTGCCTTGTCCGCAAATAAAAGAGACGTGGCTTCATTCTTGATCCACTCTCCGTAATATTGCGTTAAGTATGTGGTCTGCGAGGAAGGTTGTTGAAGCTTTATATACTATAAATATTAATACCAACCACACAATATTATTATATATATACCATATATGATTGTGCCAATTATTATTGATAATTATTTTTAATTATACTATGTGCAATAATATATGAAATATATAATTATATGAGTACGACGTTAAGATTGTCAAACATTACTTTTGAATTTTTTACATAACACAAAAATTATACAATAGTAAAAAATAGAAAAAATTACACTTTTAATCACTAAGTTATAGGGTAATTGAAGAATTCATAATTATTAGTCGTGCTTACTTTTTGTCCCTAAAATATACTCCGCAATTGATGTTGCAAATTTCGTCCATTTACTAACAAAACATTAGGAACGAAGTATAGCTTAGAAATGAAGAGTGATCACAACATGTTATTAAAAGGA